GGGGGTGGCAAGTTTGAGACAGTGTCTCCCAACAGGCACTGGATCTCTTCCATCACCTTGCTTCATATCCAGTGCAGTGGTAAAGGCCTCAGGAAATGAAAATGAGTCTCAGGAGCTTTGGAGGTCATTGATGGTTTCTTGCCCCTCCTCAGCTGCCCTTCGTGTGAATGTCCCATGTGTGTGGCCTGCCTGGGTTGGGGGTTTTACAACTGAGCTGTTTTGTGTAAGGGAGTTTGGGTGTTCACCACCTGTGATCAGAAGTTGTGACACACACTGATAACCTCTCCTGCAGCCCTTTGGCTGGTGGGAGTGTGTGCAAAGCTCAGGGGATTGGGTCTGAGGGCCATGGCCTCCACCACGCCAAACCCAACCTGAGCTGATTTTAAGGACATCTGCTGGGTATGGCTTTCTGGGGGATACTTATTTCTACCTCAGCCTTGTTTCCTTCCCTCTAGACCTGAGATAATAAAGAAACAATCTCCCCTGTATCTATCTCAGGCTCCCTTAGGCGACTTAAGTCCACAGTTGCTCTCAGGAGGCATGTGCAGGGAGATGTGGGCTTCAGTGGTAGCAGCATATTTACACAGTTGAGCCATAAAGGGCAAAGAATCCTTCCTAGCACATTTTGGGCCGTTGAGCGCTGCGTTTCTGTCTGTCAGAGAGGGGAAGAGAGGGGGCTGGGGGTGGAAGGCGTTGGAGGCGGCTGAGGGCGGTGCTGCAGTGGAGCTTTTCCCACTTTTGGGATTGATTGGTCATGGCAGACTTTGTCCCAGCTTGAGGAGAGTGGTCCCGGCTGGGATCTGTCCCATTGTCAGGTGGGCTGAGTTGTGGGTCTTGTGCCCAGTGGTGACTCTCACCAGTCCTGATTTCCATGGTTTGAGAATTTATTGCCAGGTGAATGTGGGAATGTTGTCTCGTTGTGTCCCTGATCCCCCGTGTGCTGGCAAATCTGTGCAGGTTCAGTGTGTGCTGGTCTGGTGCAGTTCCAGGTGGGAGTGTGCAGGAGGGAAGTGGCACATCTTGTCAGCCTTGCCCTAAAGCTGGAATGTTTTGTGCTTCTTGCAGGTGTGCGGTTGAGCCTGGGATGTTCAGGCCAGTCCAGATGTATGATCCAGCATTTTGGAGAGCCCCTGTGGCTGGGGTTCCCAGTGGTGTGTGTCAGGTGAGATTTGGGATGACTGTGGTGCTGGCAAGGTCCTGAGGCTTTGGATGTGCAGTGAGATCTGCATCACGAGGGAAGGTGTTGCTGGCGATGTGCTCCCATGGATTGTTATTCATGACAGGCAGGTGGGAATGCCCAGATCTCTACCAATGGAAGGGGATGAGGGGGGCAGAAATTGTGACAGAGTGTCTCCCAACAGACTCTGGATTTATTGCATGACATTGCATCACATCCAGTGGTCTGGTAAAGGCCTGAGGCGATGAAAATGAGTCTGAGGAACTTTGGTAGTCTTTGATAGTTTCTCAGCCGCCCTTCTCATTAATGTCTGTTGTGCGTGGCCTACATGGGTTGGGGGATTTGGAACTGAGCCGTTTTGTGTAAGGGAGGATGGGTGTTCACTGCCTCTGACCAGATGTTGTGGCACACAACAAAATCGTCTCCTCCAGCCCTTTGGCTGGTGGGAGTGTGTGCAAAGCTCAGGGGATTGGGTCTGTGGGCCATGGCCTCCACCACGCCAAAGCCACCCTGAGCTGGTTTTCAGGACAGCTTCTGGGTTTGGCTTTCTCGGGTTTACTTGTTTCTCTCTCAGCCTTCTTTACTTCTCTCCAGACCTGAGATAATTAAACAACACTGTCACATTGATTAATTGCCGAGTTGCTGTCCGAGGTTTTTATTTTTTTTCCTCTACTCCCCCGGGCGGGGGAGGAGGCTGCACCGTCCGAGCTGTGGCACAGCAGCTGGCAGCCGGGGGGCACTGCCCAGATGCGCCGGCTGGAATGCTTTTTGCTTCTTGCAGGTGTCCGGTTGAGCCTGGGACCTTCTGACCAGCCCAGATGTATGATCCAGCATTTTGGAGAGTCCCAATGGCTGCAGGTCAGAGTGGTGTGTGTCAGGTGAGATTTGGGATGACTGTGGTGCTGGCAAGGTCCTGGGGTCCAGGGTTTTGGATGCATAGTGAGATGTGCATCATGTGGGACGGTATTCCTGGGCATGTGCTCCAATGGAATATTGTTCATTAGAGCCAGGTGGGAATGGCCATGTACCTCTCTAAGGAAGGGAATGAGGGGGGTGGCAAGTTTGACACAGTGTCTCCCAACCGACTCTAGATCTGTTGCCTCACATTGCATCCCATCCAGTGGTCTGGTGAATGCCTCAGGAAATGAAAATGAGTCTGAGGAGCATTAGAAGTCATTGATGGTTTCTAGCCCATCCTCAGCCACACTTCAGGTGAATGTCCCGCGTTTATAGCCTGCCTGGGTTGGAAGATTTAAAACTGAGCTGTTTTTTGTAATGGAGTTTGGGTGTTCACTGCCTCTGACCAGAAGTCGTGGCACACACTGATAACCTCTCCTCCAGCCCTTTGGCTGGTGGGAGTGTGTGCAAAGCTCAGGGGATTGGGTTGTGTGGTGGTGCTGGTGAGGTCCTGGGACTCGAGAGCTTTTGATGCATTGTTGGACCTGCATCATGTGTGAAGGTGTTGCTGCGTGTGTGCTCAGGGACACACAGCTCCCTGTGGCTGTCCTGGGCTCCTGTCAGCACCCGAGGCATTGATTCATGGGGAGGGGAAGGAAAGGGGCCACAGCTTTTGTTAGTTCTGTTCCTTTTGTGTTTCTAATGTCCAGGTTTTACTTTTCGTGCTCTATTTTCTACACGAATTGAGTGTTCCTTTGATTTTATTAAAACTCTTTTTTGTTTCATTTTTGTGTCCTTGGAGAGACAATGATCATCGCATGGGGAGGAGGGAGGGCTCAGGAAGAAGGAAGGCGGGGGGCAAGGTGCTTGTAGGGCTTGTTTTACTTCTCAGTATCCTCTGATGATTTTGGCAGTAACTTTAGGTAAATTTCCCCATTTGAGTCTGTTTTCCCAGTGATCAGTGTGAGATTTCTCCCCCTCCTTATCTCAAGGCACGAGCCTTTCCTTATATTTTCTCTGCCCTTTTTGCTGAGAAGATGCGTCATAAAGCAGCTTTGCTGGGTACCTCTCATCCAGGCAGCGTCAGATCACAACATGGACCCTGTGACATCATTCGGTCTTGTGGTTTTCTATCTCTTGTGAAAGATGTGTGCACTTACAGGGAGGCAAAACATGGGATCCTGAGCCTCTAGATCCAAAATATTACTGTTTCCATATGGGTGTGTTCCTGCTAGCAGAGGTACTGTGTGTTCCCTCTCTTGCTGGGCGCAGGGGATTCTTTCAGAGGTGCTGATACCAGCAGGCAGGATTCCCATGGACCCTTCCAAACACCCAGCTTCGTGCATGGAGCAGCTTTCCCTGGAAGGCTGAGGCTCTGGGCAAGGCTGGGTTGAGGAGACCATCCCTGAGCAATGGCCATGCGGCTGAGCCCGCAGATCCAATGTGAAGCCACCCACCAGCAGCTCCCAGAGGCAGATCCCCCCATTCCAGGGCCCATCGTCTCCCAGCACAGCCCTTCCATCCAGAGCTCCCCTGGAGCTGACCCCAGCCTCAAACCCGACATCTCCATGTGTCACCCCTTATTCCTGTCAAATTCCTTGGCTGAATGGGGGTGCTGCACTGACCCCTCTTGCTGGGACACCAGGACCCTGGGATCAGGGAAAACAGGGAGGTAGGAGGACAACAGGGTCAGAGGCAATACAAACACCTGGGTGACTGGGATCTCCAGGCTCTGGAGGCACTGGGGAGCGCTGGGGAATAGTGGCACTGGGACTCCAGGGCTGGACTTGGGACAGTGCTGGGGTGGTCACAGTGCACAGCTCCAGCCCATTCCCAGCACTGCAGCCCCAAACTGCTCCAGCCCTGGGGGAAGATCCCCTGCCCGGCCCCACTGTCCCACCCAGGACCACTGTGTCCTGCTGGATCACCCCAGTCCCGCTCTGCTGAGCTGTCCCACACATCGGGTCCCGGGGGCTCTGCCCCAGCAGGGCTGTGGCTCCAGACTGGGCTGGCACTGGGACACAGCTCCCACAGAGCCCCTGGCCCCAGGGATGGCCCTGCCCTGCCCTCACCCAGCGCTGGCCCTGAGCAGGGTCTGCCCCTCAGGGCTGGGGTCAGGCTGGAGCCCAGTTCAGGATCCCTCTGGAGCAGGAAGGGACATCAGGACATGAGGTCCCGAGAGATGCAGCTGTGGCTGCCTGTCACCTGTTCCAGCACCTTTCTGTGCAGATCCCATCCCTGCTTCTGGAGCAGTTTTGGTGGGACCCCAGGCCATGCACTCAGTGAGATTTAGCTGCTCATGGAGCCCCAATTGCTGGAGCCTTTCCCAATGCTGCAAGAATTGAGGGCGTGTCTCTATCGTGAGATAAAGGACCCCAGGAATCCTGAGCTGCAAGAAGGGATCCATGACCCAGGGACAGAACCTCCACCCCAAATCAGGGACTGGACCCTCACCTAGGTCAGGGATTGAATTCCCACTCCAGGTCAGGAGCTGAGTGACCTTGAGATAAACATGACCTTGGGATCATTGTGACACGAGATGATTACAACACAACCATGACCAGGAGACAACCATGAGGTAACCATGGCATGACCACAACCCAGATCCATCTCTGAGTCTCGAGGATACCCAGGGTGTTGCAGGGAGTTGTTTTCCCTGACCCTGTAACCTCTGTTTTCTGGCTTCATTGGGTGGTTCATCCCATCCCACACCATCCCTGTCCACATGTTCATGTTGCCCAGGCTGGGACATCTCAGCATCTCCAGGGCCAGTGGGGAATCTGGTCCAAGCAACACTGGGACCAGAACTGCAAGGACCATTTGGAGCTGCTCTCACCAAAGGGATGACCTTGACTCTGGAATGACTTTGACTTCAGTCTGACTCCGTGCTCTCTCCCACCCCAGTTCCTGGTTCACCACAGGAGAGGGGAGTCACCATCAGCTTTTATTTACCCCCCAATAAAAGTTTCACCTTTGGAATGCCCCAGATCCCATGTGGGACCCCCCAGCATCCAGGGGGCCCCCAGATTCTGGTATTCCTTAGCCCCAGCACTCAGGGGACCCCCCAGTCCCCTCAGCCACGCTGCGGCCGCAGCTTCATCTCGGTGAAGGGGATGGAGACGTTGAAGCCTTTCCAGGGGAACCAGTGGATGCCCTGTGAGGAAGGGGAATTAGAACCCTTGTAGACATCCAGAGACCCCCCTGTGAAGTCCCCATAGACCCCCACAGACCTCCACAGACCAGAGAGATGCCTGCAGACCCTATGGATCCCTGCAGACCTACATAGATTCCTATGGGCACTCATGAACCCTCACAGATCTCCACAGACAAACCCCCAGATACAGATCCCCACAGGCCCCACAGAATCACATAGACCCTGTTTTCCACAGAGCCCTGTGAAACCCTATAGACTCTCACAGACCCTTGTGGACCCTTAGAGACCCCAACAGGTTCCCTCATATATCCCCAAACCCCCATAGTCCTATAGTCCATCCAAAGGCCCCCTAGACCTCCCTATCCATTCCCACAGACCGCCCCCCCAGCCTCCTGCAGCCCCTTAAAACGCCCACCAGCCCCTTGCAAAGCCCCCTTAGACCCCCCAAATTCCCTCATAGCCCCTCCATCCCCCCCCAGTCCCCTGCTCCTGGGTCCCGCCTCGCCCCGGTACCTGGTGGTCTCGGGGGGTCCCGTAGCGCCCGTTCAGGTTGGCGTAGTGGCAGTTGCGGTACCACCAGGCTCCCCCGTAGGCCACGGCGCAGGGTGGGGGCCGGGGCCGCCCCGAGGGGTCCCGGCGGTCCCGAGGGTCTCGGAAGTCCCGGTCCCGTGTCGAGAAGGGGCTGCCCGAGTGGTAGGAGAGGGCATCCCCTGTGGGGAGCGCTGTCAGGGACCCCCAAACCCACCAGGAACCACCAAAACCCACCAGAAACCCCAATACCCCCCCTCCCCAGAGGCCCCAAAAGGCACCAAAGATTCCCAAAACGCCCCAAGGACCCCAAAACCCACCAGGGACTTCCAAACCCGCCAGGGACTCCACAGACCCCTGCCAGGCCCCAAAACCCCCAGGGGCCCAAAATCCCTCCAGGAGCCACAGAGTTCCCCGGCGTCCCCGGGAGCCCGCTGTGCGCACCGGCGGTGCCGCTGAACGCTCCCACCCGGAGCCGGTACCGCTCCTCGGCGCCGCCGACGGCGAAGTCGCGGTAGAGCGCGAAGGCGGCGTCGCGGGCGGTGCGCAGGTCCACGCGCAGCTCCGTGCGCGCCGCGCTCGTCAGCTCGTGCAGCGCCTCGTTGCCTGCGCCCCAAAATCGTCTGGCACTCCCCGAAATCCTGCGGGCCCCCCGAGCTCCCCTGTCCCCCCCACCCCATCTCCTGCATGTCCCCTGAAATACTGGGACCCCCCTGGACCCTTCGAGCCCACCCTGAACTCCTGGACGCTCCCCCACAAAACTCCTGGGGACCCTCCAAGTCCTTCCCCAAAACCAGACCTGAATGTCTGGGGACCCCCCAAGTCCCTCCAGACCCTTGGGGGAACCCCTCGGACTCCCTGGTCAGTGCCTCCTTCCCTGCACCCCACAGCCTGCCTCCCAATTGCCTGGACCTCTCCTGGATCCTACGAGTCCCCCCCTCCGTCCCCTGGGGAGCCCCCGAATTCTGGGGGAATTATTATTCACCGAATACTCCCTGCTGCCGCCCCAGCAGCTGGCTCTCCTCAAAGTTCCCCCTGTCCCCCAAACCCCCAGAGTGCCTCCGTTGGCCCCACGTCTCCTCAAATTTTTACATGACCCCCCAGTGCCCCCCTCACCGAGCCAGAATTCGCCGCTGACGTTGCCGAAGCCGCGGGCATATGACTCCCACCCCCGCCAAAAGTCGGTGCTCCCGTCCTGGCGGCGCTGGAACACCTGCCGGGGGGAGTCAGGGGCACCCCAAAACCCCCTGACCCCCCCATACCCCTATTTCCCTCCCATAAACTCAGTAGAATGCTCCCAGCCCTTCCCAATGCCCCCCAGTTCCCCTTCCAGTGCCTCCCCATCACCCCTCAACCTTCCCAATGCCCCCCAACACCCTGCAGGATCCCCTATTGCCCCCAAAGCCCCTCTTTCCCCCTCCCCAGAACTCCATAGACCCTCCTATAGCCCCCTGCAGCAGCTCCCCCCACCAGTGCCCCCAGTGCTCCCAGTCCCACCAGCCAGCCGCCGCCGTCCGTCTCCATGTCACAGAAGACGCGGAGGGGCCGGGCCGGGTCCCCCCGGAGGAAGATGAGGGTCTCCCGCGAGGGGCCCGGCCCGTTCAGCTGCTCCTCGGCGCAGTCCCGGGGGTGCGGGTGCGGGAGGGGGGCTGGGGGGGCACGAGGGTCCCCTCAGACACCACAGGGGCTTCCGGGGACTCAGGGGTGCTGGTGCCCCCTCCCCGAAAAGACGCAGAATCCCCGACTCAATATTTGCCCCACCCCTATCCAGGGGTCGGGTGTTCCCCACCCAATAACCGCCCCCCCCCAGGACCCAGCCGAACCCCCAGTATTCACCCCCCACAAAGGACCCCACCCTCCCAAAAGGACTCAGGCTGCCCCCCAATGCCTCCCTGAGGAACTCGGGTGTCTGGGTGCCACCCCCAGGATCTCAGCCGCCCCCAGATGATCCAGCTGTCCCGCCAAAGTTCCCCCCCAAAAAAAACCCCAGGGGTACAGGTGTCCCTACAATGGGTTTTCCCCTCTCCAGTGACCCAGCTGTCCTTGTTCCAGCCCCCCAAAATGATACACACCCCCTTCCCAAGGACCCAGTCCCCCCAAAAGCACCCAGGTAACTGGGTGCCTCTCTCAAGGACCCACCTTGCCCATCAACCCAACCCCTCCCCACAAAGGACCCGGGCACCCCCCCCGAAACCCCCCCCCCCAAAGGACCCAGATTCCTGGGACCCCCCTCACACCAGGACACAACACCC